CTTTATCTGACACCCCTTCGTTACGGCCGCAAGAGGGACTTGGGATGACGTTATGCAAGCAGGTGGCGTTCACGTGGCGCTGACGCGTGAGACCGAGGGGCATTGTAACTAACTTGTTGGCTGCTTATACACGAGCCGTAACATTCGTACTACGGCTCCTCCCTAAACCAAGCACTTAGAATGGTCCCCTAACATGTTGCAAAACCAACAAGCATACCGCATTTCTGCCAATGTACCCCCTCTTTTTCTTTCAGGAAGCACGTCCCTGCCTATAGAGTATGTACACCATTCACTCCAACTGTTAACCTCGAAGTTCTTCCCCTTTTTTCAAGTTTTTGTTTGTATGCTATCAGAATCAGAACTATTATGTTGAGCGAAGTAACGAAATAAATTCCTTTACCAACTCCCCAACTTTTCGAAACTTTCTGTTTGTTTTCTGATCCATGAAATGGGCCAGCGCATTCCGCATCTGCTCCCGCCGTGCGGCAAAACAAGCCCGTGGCGTAAAAATGCTCGTTTGTTCTGGCAAGCAAAATGTAACGTGCGATTTTTCAGAGTCCTCAGCCTGTATTCATACGATATTTTAAAAAAGCACGAATTTTGATGAAGCATAGAATATACTTCTACATGTATTTTTTTCGAAGAATTTTACTTTGTTCAAGGATACCCTTTCTGCGTGTACCTGTACTTCCAACTGTTGGACTGTCTCACACTTGAGTTTTCAGAGAGCCCAGCCGTACGAGGGTGTTCTTTGACCAGGTCGTCGTAGCGTAACATAACCCGTAACAGAAACGCATGAAACCGGAAATGTATTGCAGTTTAAAAGCGTTTTTGAATCGTTTTTAGCTTATGAGCGTGTTATACGTAATAATACTTCGCACCAATAACGCATTGAAATTGCAATTTTTATTTTGGTTTTTATGCGTTTTCCTTTCGCGTTTCGTTACGTTACGACGCCCTATCTTTGACCATGCTGCCAGCTTTGTGCGAAGCGCCTGTGTGGTAGGCACGCTGGATACACGAGCGCGTTGCGGACCCCTTGCTGCCTACCTCCCAGGCGCTCTGGAGCGCACCGCCCGACGCCAGTAGACGGGAGAATACCGAAGAATACGGTGCTCCAAGCCTTTCTCTTTTTTCTTTGCTTTTCCTGTGCTGCATGGTACGGTAGGAAGGGGGACATATGCGGGGAGTATATGTTTTCTATCGAGTATCGGTGTACCGCTTTTGGGGGTGCGTTTGCACAGCCAGTGCGACGAGGGTGATGGCGTGGTCAGGCCCGGGGGTGGAGGATGGAGGAGGGAGGGGGGAGTATCAGACCGGACCTGTATCCCGCCCCGCGCGCTGGCCGGCTGCCTGCCGACCGTGTTCCCACCCGGCCCCGTGGAGCGTGCCGAGCGTGTGCTCCGGCCCCGCCGCCCCGCCCAGACATGCACTGCACGCCGGCCGGCATTTATAAAGCCGCATTACGTGGTGTCCC